AGTTTCCTTCTGTTTTTACACAAAACTGAAGAATTGGAAAGGGATACTAGGTGATACGCTATAGCTTTCAGCTATGCCTTGACCAGAACGTAGGCCTTTCCCTTTCCTGGTTGACAAGCCTCCTGCAGTTTAGCTCTTCTTGCATTTGTAGGATAAATTTTACTTATATTTTCTTATTAACACATTGAGTTGAATTCAATTAACTGTTTTTTTAAATGGGCATCAATATTTGTAAATGTAATTTATTATTACTTTATTTCCCACAGAGTTCAGGTAATGTAATATTGGCTTTTAAAAATGAATAGTGAGGGCTGGGTGTGGTGGCATCTTTAATGATGGCCCTCAGGAAGCAGAGGCAGGTGGAGTTTTGTAAATGGAGTTCTTAAGTGGTCTAAGTAATAAAAACCCAGAGTCAGATACAGAGGAAAATGCTGAGAGATGAGAAAGAAGGAGCAAGCCACAGCACACCTTACCTCCTTAGAGTCTCCGCAGACATTATGATTAGAAATGAATACTTTACATTGGTATAAATTTTGGTTTATTGATACAAATTTAAGGTCAATTTTGTTACATGTATATTTTCTACTATTGTTTAGGTACTGTGTTTATACAGTTCATTTAAAAATGCAATGTATACTTAAACACAAATTATAGTCACCTATAATAGTCAAAATTTATAGTTATGTTAGCTAGGTTTTCTAGATATGCAGAGATATTTCAAATGGATAGGTATTCTTCAAAACCTTTCAAAGGCCTACAGAATATGGCATTTAACATAGTTTATTAGGATTTTTCATGATAATGAGACACAGCTACTCCTGGCAACACCAATTATGTCAGAGAGGAAGATGGGCATCAAAGAAACTCGTTATGGAGTTTGCCTTCAACATGGCAGGGATAGCCTTTTAGACAAGAAACTGCTCTTGCCTGGACTGCTTGACAGTATGGTGTCCAAACTGGACAAGCAGGTTACAAAGAAAAGTGATTGCTGAACTTGCCCAGGGACAAAATGTCCTTTAGGGTTGTTGCCTGTAGAAAGAAGGCAACTGACAAACTTTGCCAATACAAGACAAAACAGGTCATCAATTTTCCTGCTTCATTAAAGTCTGCCCAACACTGTGGCCTATGGGCTAAGGATGGACGCCCCGACATTACAGAGAAAATTTGGGTGACTGTCCAGGCAGCGAGATGTCTCTGTGAGTTCTAGTGCTTAGATATTATCCTTCTGGGTCTTTGATGGAGTTGAAGACAGTTATGGTTTTCCTTAGTTATGATAAAAGTTAAGCTACATATAAAACTTTACATTCACAAAGATAATATATATATATATTATTTATTTATTGTTTTTCCAGACAGGGTTTTTCTGTATTGTTTTGGAGCCTGTCCTAGAACTCGATCTGTAGACCAGGCTGGCTTCAAACTCACAGAGATCCACCTGCCTCTGCCTCCCAAGTGCTGGGATTAAAGGCGTGCGCCACCACCACCCAGTGATGATAAGATTATTTGTCTTTAAATTTTGTCAAATGTTGGTGGACTAAATATTGTTAACTATAGTTCTTGCTTGATAACTGCTTTGTCACATATAATTTTACTATGTTAAATTTAAAATTTTCCTTTTTATTTAGACAGAAAAGAGGAGATGATGGGGGATGTCCTTCTTGTAACGATAAATCTTTCTGCCAAGTTGTCCGAGCCCTGCTGCCAGGTGGGTGCCTGAAATAACACACAGAGTCTTATGTTAATCACGATGCTGCTGGCCAAGGATAAGTCTTTTTGCCAAGCCGCCCAAGTTCCGACTGTCACCACGTTAAGGTCCCAAGTAACACACAGAGACTTATATTAGGTACAGTGCTGCTGGCCAGTGACTAGGATTTCTTATCTGCTATCTCAGTCTTAATTATCAACCATAATTATTAATCTATATGTTGTATAAACTTACCTTATTGAGGACACCGGCGGCAAGCGCTTCTCAGGCTCACATGGCAACTCTCTCCCTTTCTTACATTTCCCAGAATCCCCCTTCTCTCCTAGTCACGCCAACTTGCTCCCCTATTGGCCAACAGTGCTTTATTTACCAACCAATAAGACAAACATATGCAAAAGGACCTCCCCCCTCACCTTCTGTATGTTGTGAACATATGTTTCTCTTATTGGTTGATGAATAAAGCTGGTTTGGTCAATAGATAGGCAGGATTTAGCCAGGCAGGAAATCAAAGTAGGGATAGAAAAAGATAGGAGGCAGAGTCAGGGAGATGGCACGGAGCTGCCAGAGGTCTGGGAATCACCAGTACGCCAAGACCTCGTAGAGATACACAGATTAATAGAAATGGGCCTACAATTAAGAGAGAGAGAGCTAGCCAATAAGAAGCCTGAGCCATCAGTCAATCAGTTTATAATTAATATAAGCCTCTGTGTGTTTATTTGGGACTAAACAGCTGGGGGACCAGGCAAGACAGAAACTCCCATCTATACAGTTTTATAAGTTCAAGACCAACTTTGTCTTCATAATGAGTTTCAGGCTACATTGGGAAATACAAAGAGACTCTATCTCAAAAAGAAAAAAAAAAGAATTGTAAGCTTTTCCATAGTTTCTATCGGTTGAAACTATTTCAGTAATAAGATGGTTCATTTTATGGGTTAACTTAGTTGGACAAGACACTCAGATATGTGGTTAAACATTATTCTGGAAGTTTTCATGGGAATATTTTTGAATAAAATTAACATTTAAATCAATCGAGTAAAGCTGTTTTCCCTCCATGCTGTGAGTGGTCCTCTTTGTCAGTTAAAGGCCTGTAGAGAACAAACCTGGTCTACTTGGGACAAGAGGGAATTCCAAGTCAGAATGACCTTGGACTTGAGCCAAAGTATCACCTCTCATCTTGGTCCCCAGTTTGACAGCCAACCCTGTAAGTTGTGAGCTTGCCAGTCTTCATAGCCATGTGACATAATTCCTAATATAGCACTCCTGCTCTGTCTTTGTCTCTGTCAAAATGGGACACATGTACATTGGCATCCTATTGCACACACTTGTGCGTTTATGCAGCCCATTGATAACTGATGGTTCCATTTCTCTGGAGAATCTGGCCTGATACAAATACTAAGGGAACCTCTGATTTTTTTTAAAGTTGAAATTAAAATTTCATTATCTTATTTTATGTGCATGGGCATTTTGCCGAACCTATGTCTGCACAACACTTGCATGTCGGCCTGGTGCTTGCAGAGGCTACAAGAGAACTCCTGATTTTCTGGAACTAGAGTTACAGATAACTGTGCTCCACCATTGACTGCTCCATTAACCCCCAGTGGGTGCTGGGAATTGAACCTGGGTCCTCTGGAAGAGTAGTCAATGCTCTTAACTCCTGGTCATCTCTCCAGCCCCTGATTTTTTTTAAGTGGAATTCATACGTAAGTGTCAGAGTCTGTCTGCTTCAGAGGCTGATATTTAATCATCCCTCTGATTCTCAATCGCCAGGGTCTTTTTTATTTTGGATAAAGCCTTCAAGTACTTATGAATGGATAGGATTTCCACTTGTGTTCAGGTTGGGGCAGGCTTTGGGTTGGATTGATGAATTCTCCAAGGACAGGGTAGCTGCTGCAGACCTTTGCCTGGTCTCTCATATATACACTCAAGAGATTGCAAAATGAATTTTCTATGGGCAGAGGTGGATAACAAATGGTGATGAGTGTAGGAGATATTTGACCTCCTGGTGATAAGCAGAAGACAAGGTACAAATCGGTGAGTCATCTTTCCTGTGTAAGACCAATCAGGTGGAAAGCCCTGCTTGGGGAAGGACCTACAATGTGGGTATGTGGGCTACAACAGTGTCAGAGATGAGTCGGGTGATTCCTGCCAACATCACTTCAAATGCTCATACCTCATGACCTAGCTATTCTTCTTCTAAGAGTTTCTTAAAGACCCGTGTGCTGCCTGCATGACTACACAAACACAGACACCAGGATGTCACACAGCAGAGCTGGAAGCAGCAAACACAAGAGACATTCAACACCCCCCCCCATAGTCACACACTCTCCAGAACTGTCATTATTATAGAATGTCACACAGTTTCTTAAAAGACTACTGCAGACCTGCTTGTGCAGTTGGGGAATAATGCCTACTGCACATTGTTGGGTGAATGAATCACCTGAAGACACCGTATAGTATGAGAACAAAAAGTTTTCATAAATTGTGTGTGCTTGTGTGCAAAATGTCTGGATAGGTAGAGGGAAGAGGAGGAAACTTGGTATCTTTACATTACAAATATTACACATATTTGTTGAAATGAAAAACAGGTGTGTATTACTTCAGCAGTAAAACAAAAAGAGTTTCTAGTGCCTGCAGCCAAGAAGAAAAAAAAATGCTGATGTAATCTATATCCAGAAGGAGGGCTCTGGGGCTTGTTCATTCTGGGAACTGGATTAACGGTTACTTGGTCTTGGGGGAAACTAGAAAAGTCACTAATTCTATTAATTAATGCACCAGCAAGCAGTTCCATTCCAGCAAAGAGGTCTTAATGAGGTACCCAGGGCAACCGTTACTTGTCTTACAAACACAGGCTGGAGGGCCCCCCTGTGCGGGTAGAGGGCATGGCTCTCAGAGTACAAACAGCTCACAGGCCCGCTCCAGCCCAGGGATACCTGGACCATCCCTGCTTTCTGTCTCCATCCCTATCGACCTGACTCCTTCACTCTCTGCCTCCCTCCTCCATACTCCTCTCAAAGAAAGGCCTTGGCAAAGGAGTCACCACAGTCTGCACTGCAAATTCATCTCCATCCTTCTCCTTAGCTACAAACTGCTGGTACCCTCACTGACAGAGTCGGGTCTCTCTCCCCAAGCTGAGTTAGAGAAGCTGGTGCCCCTGCCAGGCTCCCACGGCACATCTCCATCAAGGCAGTCTGCCT